CCCCAAAACCCCAAAACCCCAAAACCCCTTAAGGTGACTATTTGTGATTTATTCCATATATTATATTGGTTATAAATATTCAATCTTTCCTGTCAAGTCTACTATTGTCTGTGCTTCTATCGATATTCTTTTTGCTGTTTTTATCTTGGTTCTCTGAGATCTTAAGTTAAAACACTGGACTTAGCTTTCTTTAAATAAGCTGTTTATTGATCTTATCCCCTGCTATCTAAAACATTTGCACTTTGTTAATCATATCAAGAAGTCTAGATTCTTTTTACATATCTTCCTGAATTTCAAAGTTGCTTGCCATTCTATTGCCAAGGAATTGAGGCTTCTGAATGTTCTAAAGATTCTTTTGAATCATTGGACTTTAGCCTAAATAAAAATCAGTAAGATAAAGCTAAACTTACTCATCTAATAGTGAGGACTTTGATGATTCCTTTGCTTTGAATCACTTTGATGCAGGAAAATTCTCTAATCTGATATGTTAACTGGGTTTGGACCACCACTAGTACTCATTGTCATGTACTGTCTATCAATACTTGCATGCCTTTGAGGTGATTAGCTAGTGTTTTGCTGATTGAGCATCTAGCTTGCTTCTTAAAACACAGTCTCAGTTGTACGGCTGTTTCTATGTCCCCCTCCGCCAATCTTAGGTAGAGTAAAGTTTGGCTGCTCTCCAAATAGAGCTCTTACTTTGCCCTCGCTTGGAAATGGTATCAAATTTTTTACAAGAGTTGATCTGGTGTAATATTTATTCTTGACATTTGGAAGAGCAACTGGTGCATTGCCAGGGTTAGCTAGCCCAGAAGAAGATGGGTCAATCCTAGTCGGAGAGGTCTTCTTAGACATCTTAGATTTAATATCTATTGCTTCTTTTCCTGACTCTAAGAATGAAAATCTGCTATAGTATATTTTTGGATCTAGCACCTCAGTGATTGCTCCATTGATGAGTCTCATAGCTAGATTGTCGTTTTCCTCCTCACTCATAAAACTAGGATAGTTGTTCTTGAATATGACTTCGATTTCTATTCTGATCGCAAGCAAGACCATAGGCATGACGAAGTTAGCGAAAATTCTCTTCTTATCATGTTTCATCTCTAATTAGGTGACACACTAAAGAATTGAAATAAACAGCTATTTGAGATGATAGTTGTCCAGTGGCAGTTAATTTATGTGACCAAATGTCACCCAGTAAACGAAATGAGATATCAAACCTATCAATCTTGCTGTTCTATCATTATGAATCTAGAATTAATAATTTGATACTAAAATTTACCTCTTCAAATGTCTTTTAGATGTGATGACATGTCAACACTGATTTATCAAAATGTAAAGAGCCTTGCTTATTAACCAGTTAACTTTTTTATTAAGAATCTGTATCCTTAGTCATATTAGTAGATTATCTAAGATTGATCGGCTTTTATATATTGATAAGCTAATCAAAGTTTTTAGGTTTAGCTTCACGTTCTTTACTTCTTGCTTATAGTTCTTCCTCTGTCATATGAGGTATAACTTCAATCGGAAAATCCTTAACAAATTTATACATGTCTCTTATGATATCTTCTGGCGTTACAGATATCGGGTTTTACAGCTCTTTTAACCATTCGGGCTTGTGAATCTTTTCTATGGGAAATAGGTACTTCTAAGATACTAGCTCATTAAAAGCTTTGCTGTTAAAATCAGACTCGATACTTTCATTGAATACACTACTTCTTCTAGCAGTTTTGTTGCTGACTTCATTAATAGGAGCGATATTGCCAAACGGATATAGGAATTTATATTTCCATTAATCCACTGACATGTTCAGATCCTTTCTCTTAGCCTCTGCTGCTTGTTCAGCTAAATCTGCCTTGACCTTTGCCAATTCATACTGCTTAGACTTTTTCTTGAAATGTGGAATTTAATCATAGAGTTTCTTCGTTATATCTACTCCATGATGGTTAGCTGGCCTCTTGTCCTCTAGCATGCCTATGTTATTTGCTTAGATGTGAAATAATCTTACTTTTCAAAAATTTTTCATCTGATAGAGAGCCTGAGCCTTGCGCTAGCAAACTGGGCTTGTCCTTGTTTCTTACTGTATTTAGTCCTTATCCATCTGAGGGACTTTGCTACAACTACTATGCCAGATTAAACTCCTCTCTATTATTCTCAAAAGTCTTCTTCTTCTTTTTATTTGGGTAAATATACAAAACATCAGCAAGTGAACTAAAATTTTAAATTTCATATTATTTACCCAGAATTGTTCCATCCTGATGAAAGCTCACAAGAGCTTAGAGGCTGATTTTTAAGAAGGTTTTGAATCATTTTCTAATTTGCTTCAATACCCATTGCCTCGAGGTAACGCACAGCATACTCATATTCAATAACTTTGATAAAGTCCTCATTCAGCTCTTATGGCTTGCCATTAGTAGAATTTTTCAAAGGAATAGAAATGACGATTTCATCATTTAGATTCACATCTTTCTTATAAGTTTTGATATTGCCCACCTTAAAGGCAGTATTTTTCTTTTGGAATTCATCAAATAACCTCGAACCCATTTTTAATTATTTCTCTGCTCTATCGCTTATTATTTTAATTAGTCGAAATTGGATTATATTTTACCACGAGGGGTTTTGGGGTTTTGGGGTTTTGGGGTTTTGGGG